CAGGTAAGTTGGTTGTTCGTTTATTCCTGTGTCATTGGATAGTAAATAAATGTGCTCAATACCCTTAGCACAAACCAATATCGAATTCTAATAGTTGAATTGAACGCGTCAAATGACAAGAAGTTTTGTTTTGAAATTTGAATAGCGCCACAACGGACGTAACGAGAATTAAAAATCTCTCCATTCAACTATGTGACCCGGGACGGTTGTAACTACTAAAGATTTATTTTCTTTTTATTTATTTATTTATTGCACAAAACAGAGTTACAGCAAGCAAAATGGTAAAAGACACGAAAAACAATTGATAAAAAAATTACTGAACTCCACTAGCATGTGCAAACAGCATTCTTATACAAGTACACAGTAACCATACATTAAAAATGTAAAATTTTAATAATTACATTAATTAATTAATCAAATTAGAAATATAAAAATAAATGAATTATAATAAAAGACATTATTAAATTAAATTGAATAAATGATAAGCGTGATTTTTATAAAGACTGTTAAACAATTGTAATAATGATTATATCAATGATTTCAATTAATTAATATATTTTTTCACATTGCCTTTCCAACTGTTGAGCGATTGACCGCAGATGTCAGGTACTCCGTCCAGCCCACACAGTCAATCATTTTATAAATCTTGTGACTTAATATTATTACATTATTATTAATACAACTTACCAAATACAATAAATTCTTTATGTTACACATGTAATAACGTAGACGAGTTCAGATTGATAGAAAGTCAATAAGTGAATTTAAAATCGAAACTCATTGTTTAAAATACAAGCCTGAGAACAAAAACTATAGTCTTCCTACTCCACAGCTCTCCACCGAAGCGAAGCGAAGGCGGGCCACTAGTTGTAATTTTTTTTAAATTAACTTACGAAATGATGGCTGTATATATTTATGTTTAACACAAATTTTGTAAAACAAAAAAGAATAAATTATTTGGCAAATTTAATTAAACAAACAAAGTTTTTGATTGAACTTCTTAAGTACCTATAAGTCAGTCAGCATTTTCTCATTTATATTTTACAATAGCGAAAATAAAACTCTTCAAAGACAAACAGCACAAAATTACTTGTGTAATGTTTGCCTTTGAGAAGTTTTATTTGATATCGCAGAAAGTTCTCATCAGATCTTCAAAAAAATTATATGTGACCTTTACAAAAGCAAACTGATTCAATCAAAAAAGAATCTTTAATATCCGCCTATACCCAAGAGTCAATGTGATGGCAACAAAAAACTATCTACTAAATTAAGAATTGAGAATCTATTGGGTTTGGGATTATGAGCTCGATGGCGCAGAGGAGCTCCATGGCCTGCGATCGTGAAAGTTAAGCAACTTTCGCAATGGTCGGTCTTTGGATGGGTGACCAAAAACTTATTATCTCGCGCTCCTCCGTACTTTGGAAGCCATGTTAAGCCGTTGGAAGCCATATTGTCGTCGTCGAATAATTTTTATTGACGTAAGGGACAAAAAAAGCGAAAATTACTTTATTAGTGTTATTTACTCAGTTTCAAATTCTCTAGCGAATAATTTATCTGAAATTTTGTTATCTTGCATAATTAGTTTGTTAAGTATTTGAAGAAAAAGAAAAAATACGTGTCCATTATTTTTTGATCATCTAACTGACGGATTAAATAGAATTTCGTTTACTGTACCCCGTCATCACCCCTATTCTAACTGTGAACTTCCTATGGCTATTAAAATATCTAAAGATGACTTTGGCTTACAAAATTATGCGTTTGTGAAATCCATATGATTTTCTGCGAAATTGATACTATCCGCTGATATGAATAATAATATTATGACATTAAAAGTTCTGCGTTACAAGGTAGACCCTCTTAGCCTACAGCCTAACTCAATCAATTAAATCTAAAGAAAATATAACTAGAAAAAATTCCACGCGGACCAGGCAGCAGACGGGACTCGAACCCGCACCCTTCATAATCCGGGCGAATGCACTGACCAATTATGCTACCACGGCCCTGATGGCCGCGTCGAAATTCCTCTAGCCACTCTTAAGCTGCAAGGCAGCGCCATCTCTTCGAATTATAGGTAACCCACAATGTCAAATGAATACTTGTACAAGTATTAAACATTTGAAAGAAGAGATAGCAATTATAGTTATATATATATATTTTTCAATCAATTAATTTGAACGAAATCATTATGAACTTACTCCCAAATCGTAAAAACAATAGATGTGTATCAAAGACGGAATGTTAGCATCCCACCTTGTCGTTAAGATAAACAGCTATTAATGAGGATAGTATTCCTTACATATTTCCAAAATGTGCCTTTAACCTGAGCCTCATTTAAATCCTTTGTTAAGATGGCTTAATAAATCTTCGCGCCTACGCCTAGTGATTTACGGTTCAAGAATAATTAATCAAAATTTGCAAAATGGGAGAACACCTTCTAAATGTTCAGTATTTTTTAATTACGTTGGTATTATAATACGTTTAGCCTGTGAAAATCTTTGTTATAATTATTTAATAAAAGAGTTTATTACAAAATTCAGAAAATTTTAATGACCAATTTCTTTACATAAACTGTTTTGATATTAGGTAATATTTAATCTAAAGGATTAGTTACATCAAAGCCTTTATGTGTCTTTATAAAGTTTTGATATTTTCAAAGACATAATTTAATTCGAGAAAAATATTGTAAAAGCAAGTCAATCATCATCATCAATCATCAACAGCCTATCATAGTCCACTGCTGGACATAGGCCTCTCCAAATGCACGCCACTCAGATCGATCTTGGGCTACTCGCATCCAGCTCCTGCCAGCCACCTTGCGCAAATCGTCACTCCATCGTGCCTGAGGACGTCCTACACTACGTTTGCCTAGACGCGGTCTCCACTCCAGAACTCGTCTACCCCAACGGTTATCGGTTCTTCGGCAAATATGGCCAGCCCACTGCCACTTCAACTTGCAAATCCGGTGGGCTATGTCGATAACTCTGGTTCTCTGTCGGATTACCTCATTTCTCATGCGATCTTTCAGAGAAACGCCGAGCATAGCCCTTTCCATGCTTATTGCATGCCAAAAGCAAGTCAATGCTTATTTTAAAAGATACACTTAAAACCGCATACATGCTAATGCTGCTGTGGCTACAAATAACGATTATTTTTAACACCCCGTACCCACAGATTGTCGAGTAAACCTTACCCAAGCTTCCGTTGACGTTTCTCTCTGCCAGCGGGCTGTATATCATTAATCGTAAAAGGTTCTTAATTTTTTACAGAATATATATTTCTTGGTGAAACATATTGGGTAACGTTACATTTTTTTATTTGGAACCTACCCAAATAAAAAAGTTACTACCTAATACATTTTAGTGTAAGGTCTGAAAAACTCAACTATTACACTGTGATTAGAAAATAAAAAAACAAATATGATCAGCAGTCTTTTCTGCTATTAATTATGCATTATAAACAAACTCATACTAAGTGTCTACCATTCGTAAACATACCCTTCAAGAAACTCTTTGACGGAAGAACTAAAAATGACAAATTTTGGCCAACAGCTGATCCATTAAATAACCATAGTTTGAGAAAACCGGTCAAGTACGAACCGGATTCGTACAGATAGGAATTCCTACCTTAGTACAAGACAACACATGAACACCTATTACAAAAGATTTATGAGTGAACATTTCAAAATCGTAAGGGTTATAATTTTTAAATTTATCAATTATTTTTATTCTTTGCTGTTTAAAATTTAAATACACACCCATCAAAACATTTTATGTATAATGTTAACAAGACGAGACCATGTGACTCGCAATGTCAAAAAGTTACAAGATATCATGTAGCTTGTAACACGCTTATCTGGCATAAACCAAATCCAAGTTAGGCTAAGCGCAGACTAGAGTCACGACAGTTTTCTGACAATCTTGTCTCACATAGACAAGATAGCTTTAAGTGCCTACCTTGTGGCGCACATCAAGACAAAGCTGTTCTGTGTACGATGCGACGCACACCGTTTTATCAGAATCAGAATGGATATCACCAAAGCTGCTGTTATAAGCACCTTAAACGTACCGTACTATTGCAAAACGTTGGCGCAGATGACGTAAATATTGGGTACACACCATATATAGTGAAAGGCTGATTAAAGGGAAATGTTGTGTACTATACCTATGGAAAAATTTTAATCAAAAAAAAAACGAGTGTGCTTATGACTGAAGTGAAACTTCTTTAGCTCCATCTGTATGTATGTATATATTTATTTTTATATATGTATGTATATATATGTGTGTGTGTGTGTGTGTGCAATATATACATCTATGTACATATACATATATCATTTACAAGCTATAAGAGAAAGAGAGAAAGAAAATGCGCGCGCACTGCTTTCTCTTGCTTATATCCCCCGTCTCAAGTCCCGTTCGCCTCGCCCGAACAAACTTTTTGTAACGCGTAACGAATTCGCCAGCTTACCCCCCAAGTCAACCGTGCGTAAAGAAATTTCACTTCAAATATTCAGAGGAAAAACAGTTTTGTCGTTGATGTGCGCCGTCGCTTACATTACAAAGGGAAGCGCGGACATGTCGCTGTGCAGTTCTTGTGCACATTGGACATTTTTGTCTATGAGACGTCTCGTTTGCAAAGTGCACGTCTTCATAATTTTTGTTAAGCAATGGTCTGTCTTGAAACTGTTATGACTCTAATCTGCGCCCAGCCTTATAAGCGCTTCGAGAAAAGGTAGGTAGTGCCCTTGCGCTTCGCTTGTCTTATCTTCTTAGCGGGATTCTGGATCCGGGCAGATATTTTAACTTAACTTATAGCTATTACGGTTTCTAAACTACAGCCAGCTATTAGACAGACAGACGTTTAGTAATAATTGTAACTGTCAAACTTATTATTTATACGCGAACCCTAAACAATCAAACTCAATCAAGCAAACATCTTAAATTTACATTATTCTCTTGGTTTATTTACCCAAGTTGTTTCTACAAATCAACATTTTGTTTCAGGAGCTCGATACCAGAATAATAATAGGCAGTTTCTCACAAGAGATGATACCGAAGATATTCTGCGAGGTGAGTTGCGTGCGAGATATGAATTATTTAACAACTTAGAAAATATCGTAGACGGTATATAGTAGAGTTTATAGTTCAAAACTTTAACTACAAAATAGATAGTGCAGAATGTAATCTACATAAAAACGCAGTCGAGCAACGCACACATAGACACCATCACGGACACGATATCTCAGACCGCATGGGAACAGTGCGAGCGTGAGTTCAATCCATTTATCAAAGACACACGCTGTAAACTTATTTGTGCAAAAATGGAGGAACAAAATCGAAGTTCTTATATAACTGTTCAGTGAACGGTTGTTTGAGTTCAGCATTAAATGGGGAATTGTCTTTGTATTTGTACCTAATTTAACAATACAATAACATTAAAATTAAAGTACTTTAGTTATTATTGGTTTATATTTCATTTCTTTCTGTTTCATTCTCAACAATAAATCAAACAATTCGATGGGTACTAACACGATTTTTTAGCACAAACCAAAGTTGATCGATCGCCAAGATTAAGATTACCCTCTGTACTATCTACTTTATGTATAATGCTCCACGTTTTTGCTTAACTCTTCAAAATTACAGTCTTCTTTCTACTTATTGCTTCGTACTTAATATTATATGTTGGAACCAGAAACGAGACCGAAGAGACACACAGAGAGACAAATAATTCATGCGAAGTTAAAATAAAGTTTTTTTTTAATGTACTTTAATACTTGTTGCCCCATTTCTGGAATTTCTCAAAAACAGCAGCAGTCTTTTGTTGTCTATATATAGTTCATGAATATGAATATAACCTACCTACTGTATTAATTTAGTTGTAAGTTTAAGGAAACAGGTCTTAAACTACAGTTTTTATTTCATTCATTATTATCAGTGCAATTTCCCTCCTTTCTATGGGGTCCTTTAAGAGAGGCGTGAAGAAGCATTTTTGCAGGCCGGCAAGGTGAGGATGGTTGGTGTAGCAGTTTATAACTACTGTACCAGCTATCTTCGCGTCTGGACTTTATCACCACTTAACATCAGGTGGGGTAGAGTCATTTGCCTACCTCGCTATAAAAAATAAAATAAACTGTCTTCCAACCTAATAATTTTCAGTAAAATATAAACTGGGGACCTCGTTCCTCAGAATACGTGTCAGGTCGGGAGTATTGTCCGGGTTTTAAGCGGTAGGGACTCTCATTTCGCCGAGCCTCAGAGCAACAGTGCTATTCTGTTTTATTCTCACATCCAAGAAATTCGTATACTAATTTCAAATCACACGCGGATTCCGCGATGAAAAGTGAGTTTGTTCAGTGCTGAACGAAACGAACCGGGAGGAGTCACGCATACTCCTTTGTCGCGCTACTCCCGGTGGGCCACGGAGACATATCATTCAGACTGAAACAAAAAATAGGTACGTTACTGAAAGTTTACGGCAATAATTGATTTTGTGTGTATTGCGAGATCGCAGGCGTTCAAGTTGGGCATGTTTGGGGCGGAGTACGCGTGGCTGGTGGCGGGCGCGCCGCCGCGTCTACGCGGTTCTGCGCCGTGCGCGCGTTCACACCTCGCCAGCGCACTGGAGGGTCTGGTCACGGTCACTGCGCATAAAGGCATTGTCGGTGACGTCACTTCCTACTCTGGACTGGTAAGAGCTTACTCGTAAGTGTTTAGATTAGGAATGGAGTACGCGTGTTTGGCGCTTACGCGGGTCTGCGCCGTGCGCGCGTTCATACCTCGCCAGCGCACTGGAGGGACTGGTAACTATCACCGCGCATAAAGGCATTGTCGGTGACGTCACTTCCTACTCTGGACTGGTAAGAGCTTACTCGTAAGTGTTTAGATTAGGAATGGAGTACGCGTGTTTGGCGCTTACGCGGGTCTGCGACGTGCGCGCGTTCATACCTCGCTAGCGCACTGGAGGGTCTGGTCACTATCTCTGCGCATAAAGGCGTCGTTGGTGATGTCACTTCTTACTCTGGACTGGCAAGAACTTACTTACAGGTGGTCCATTTGGAGGACTGCATGTATACACCTGTAGAAAAAAGATTGAACTGTGGTGATGGCGTGTGGGTGCCTCACGGGAGATATCACGACGAGCGTTTATTATGGAATCAACATTTTACTAACTTAACCTACATTATTATTTACAATACGTATACGACGTGCTTACGGCTTAGATACCTAATCGTATCGGGGTAGTGTTATCAACACGTAACTAGAGGACGTGATTTACAATTCACCACATAACAAGTGTTTACATATGGCAAGTTCGGCGCGATTATGCGTAATTTTCGCTTACTCGGGTGTACTCTGTGCGCGCGCTCACACTTCGCCAGCGCACTGGAGGGTCTGGTCACGGTCACCGCGCATAAAAGCACCATTAGTGACGTCACTGGTCTGCGCTAGTATGATCTTTAAATGTAAAATATATGCACAAATTGAACACATACGAGTATGTTCTGATCACGGTCATCATCGGTAATATTTTGTCTAACTCCAGTTCTTCGGAAATGAAAAAGCTTTTAGGAGATTATTTTGTATGCAATATACTTATATATATATATATAGCATACAAAATACACCTAAAAACTTTTTCATTCCCAAAGTCCTAGAGTAGGAAGAAATAACATTAAAGCTTTATCTACTTATTATTATTACCAATGTTAGGTTAAGTTAAAGCTTAATAACTGACATATGAAAATAATTATGATTTTATAACTTAAACTTTAAACACAAATCATCGATTATGTTTCAAGTAAATGACTATTAATCATTTATTAATTATTTCAGCTGTTAGGTACAACAGTGCGATGAAACAATAACCAAACCGTTTAAATAAATAATGAAGAAACAGAAATTTCCAATTCATGGCCATTCAAAGAGACCACAGGGCATTGTCTATTAGATGAAGGAAATAAAGTTAATATTTAATGAATGAGTAAAAGGTAAATGTAATCGTAGTAGGTTTCTAGTAACTAGAAGGCGGGTAACAATGAAACAGTATTGTTCTCTAATACAACATTACAATCCCAAATAGAACAAAAAACCTTTAGGTACTTCATTACCAACTAAAACAAAAGAGTAGCGTACGTAGGTACCTAGGTGTACCTGAGACATTAAATTTTTAACTAGCAAACCAGTGAACCGAATGTTCACCAAAACCTGATTTAAAAAAAAATGTATTTAATTAATTGAGAACTTCGGAGATTTTGTGTGGTTTCGTTTGAAATTTGTGATTTCTCGAAAACCGGAAGTGCTACGTTACTGAAATCCGGTTTGTAGTCTTATCAGACTATTCTTAACTTATAACTTAAATATTCTCTTTATCTATCTCTTACGGTTTGGCCGCTGAAACAGCACCACAGACGGACGGACTTGTCTAATAGATAAGAGATTTTAGAAAAATCACATAAATTCGAAAAATTCCAGCTGCTAGTAAAAGTAAATGATAGATGTCTAAAGGTTTTAAGTATTATTTAAAAATAAACGCGATTTTTGGTTAAGAACTTAGATAGACCCAAGAATAAAACGAGCCCAGACTTAATAGTGTGGCGTAGTTTTATTGCAGAGTGGGTGGGGGCTTTATCGATATGAAATTTCGGATCTGGGAATGGATACTTATGGATATGAATAATAGTTTAATACCGCACTCAAATAGTTATGGTTTCTTATGTGAGATTATTTCGTAATACCTAAACGAATGTTACGGACAGTTTCAGATATGGATATTAGATAATTGAAAAACTTTTTTTTTCTTTTTCTTTTTCTTTATTCAAATAGAGATAATTTAATAATTAAACTAAAGAACAAATACTAAGATATTTATAACTAAAAACCTTAAAATATACACATATAATAACTAAAATACATTATTAAAAGGAGTCCCTCTAGGCAAGGTTCGACAGATACTGGCAGCGATATAAAGATACCCGTTTGAAGCTGCCAGCTCTTTGGTCTCGTGTGATGTCGACCAACCTTTAATTGAAAAACTATAAAAGAATAAGTAATAAAAATTGGTAATAAATTTGACTTTATTTGTGTGTAGTCAGGTACAGGAGACAAACGTGCATCAAGCTATTCAAAACTGTGAATTTTCTCTAAGTCTCTAGTTTTATATAAAAAAAATCATTATAGATTAAGAATATTTTGTGGTCCCTTAGGTACATCAATTCGGTGGCTATAGTATAAAAATCTGGTAAAATTGTTCGAAGATAAATTGATAGATACAATGTTTCGTGGAAATGCTGCCAGCTTATTGGGCACCATTCCTGACAGGGGCGCTGGGGGTGATATATTTTTTATTTTGTAAATTGTATATTATTTAAGTTCTTAGTTATTTCTGGTGTTCCGCACTAGATAACGGTGAATGTTTGGAGTAAAAGAGGAAGTTCAAATATATTATAATGGTTTATTATGAAGTCCACAATATAGTTCTTTATAAACTACACTAAAATTAACGTTAATGATAATAATGTTTTTACGCGTATGTTGAAATGTTAATATTTGATGAATGCACCCGACTCATTCGGTACCAAAAATGCACTGAATCAATTTACGCGCGTGTTAACCTAATTAAAGCGGTCTTAGGCAAAATTATGGGTGTTCGATTACAATGCATCGAACATATTGCCGACCGGAAAGATGACTCTCATGAGATGTGCTTGTTAGATGAAAAAAATTAAAGTTACAAGATGAAGATACAATGTTTACTTAAATCTATGTTAGTAAAGTGAAATAAAAATACCAACTCTTAATAAACAACATAATAGGAAAATAATTATTGTCTCTATGAACTTTTTACACAGAGTCTGCACTAAACATCACCTTTTTTAATACAGGGGTTGTCCCTTTATTTTTCTTACACACGCGACTTATTTCACTTTCACTATTATTACTCACTGAAATTCTCACATCACTTATACGATCACTACTACTCGGCTGTATCGGCGGCGGCCTGTCCTCTGCGGCCGCGGAAGCGGGCGAGGTTACGGGCGCGGGCACCTGGCGGCGGCGGCTTAGTCTGCGCCACAACAGTATGGCACCTGTTAAACTTACCACTATCATGATGCCATATATCAGTGTATAGTGGTGGATGTCATGATATGATATGTCTTGATCCAGCGTATTTTCGTTTTCTTTCAATGTTTTTATTTTTTCTTTCGATCTTATCATTCCAGTTCTCTGATTCGTTACCTGTTTCCTGTTTATCGAATGTTAAGTTAATAATATGATTGATGGGTGCTATAATTGGCATTTCAATTTCTCGTTCAACTTTTACTGTAGATTTTCTATATCTATGTGCATAAATAGTAAAATTGTCTGTTTTTATTACGCATGAATCATCTATGCTTATGATACTTGTTTGCGTAATTCTATGTAATGTAACGTGATCGTTGCAGAAGGTTCGCAAAGGACATTGATCACAACAAAAATATAAGTAAGTATTCGGTTTTGTTAAGCTGAACCATTGATTTTGGCAAGCCTGGATGCTAATCTTGCATTCCTTTTGATTTGTTTCATCTTTTATACACATATCACGATCCGTTTTCATTTTATAAATAGGACTTTGCAGATAACATATGTATGTATATATATCTCTCGCTATGCAGTTATGGATATCTTCACTGGATACAGGTAGGTATGAATCTTTCTGTAGACTGATGGCCACATAGTCTAAGTTCTTAGTAATATGAAGTCCACAATATAGTTCTTTATAAACTACACTAAAATTAACGTTAATGATAATAATGTTTTTACGCGTATGTTGAAATGTTAATATTTGATGAATGCACCCGACTCATTCGGTACCAAAAATGCACTGAATCAATTTACGCGCGTGTTAACCTAATTAAAGCGGTCTTAGGCAAAATTATGGGTGTTCGATTACAATGCATCGAACATCTGGTTTTTACGTTTTTAAACATTAGGTAGTTTTAAGCTTTTGTAATTGTAAACTCATATAACTTTTATTCCGAAAGAAATTATATTCTAATTTAGTTTTAAAGTTATTGTCACAATGTTTATTATTTTCTACAACATACATATAAGTTTAAAAGTAGAACAATAAAAAAAACGAATGTGCTTATGACCATACGACTGAAGTGAACCTTCTTTAGCTCCATCTGTATGTATAGTAGAAGATCCGAACCGACATCGACCTTCACCTAGCTGATAATAGAATGAAACATATTTTATTAGGAGAGCTCGATGGCGCAGATGGATAGCGCTTTCCGCTGCGATCGTTGAAGTTAAGCAACTTTCGCAGTGGTCGGTCATTGGATGGGTGACCAAAAATTTACTATCTCGAGTTCCTCCGTGCTTCGGAAGGCATGTTAAGCCGTTGGTCCCGGCTGCATATGCAGTCGTTAGCACCTACCAATCCGCACTGGGCCCGCGTGGTGGGTGGCCCAATCTCCCTATTCCATCCATAGGGAAGGCCTGTGCCCCAGCAGTGGGGACATTAATAGGCTGCTGATGATGATGATGATGATGATATTTTATCATGACTTTAGTATATTAAAAAAGGGGTTGCCTAACAAAACCTGGACAGATTATTTTTCACCCACCCTCCCCCCACTCAACACCCGTTCGCCTCTCCCGAACACACTTTTCGTAACACGTTACGCATTCGCCAGCTTACCCCCC